TTTTTTTTTTTTTTTTTTTTCTGAATTTTAGAATCAGATTTAAAAATGAGATATTTTATTACTATTTATTTATTTTTACTTTAATTTAATTTAATTCTTTTATTTTAGTCAAAATGTGTATTGATGTGGAGTTTCTTGAACACTTCTGTTATAGAACAAACAAGATACCAGAATTATTCTGATATCAATTGTTATGAATTTGGATCGAACGATGATGAAATAAAAGAAAAATAAAAATAAACACCAATATTTACGTGGAAACCCAACACGGGAAAAAACCACGGGCAAATGAGAAGATATCCAATATAATCAATATCAATTGTATTTACAAGATCTCAATTGAAATCTAAAGCTCTCAAGATATTATATGAATCTCTATCTGTTGTGATGATTTCTATACAAGTCGTGCCATATGTATATATATAAACCCTAGAGAACAAGTCGTTGAAAAATATGAGTCCAAAATCGTGTCAAAAAATGAAAACGGGCCTGGGCTGGATAAACCTGTCGCTCAAACGATAGGGCAGAGCCGGCGAACAACCAAGTCTCGAGTTGTTTTCTACCTGGCTCGCTTGAGCATATGCGAGTACCAAGCTAGCGAAAATAGGACAACTTTTTCCTACAGTCTATAATTTTGATCAATTCAAGACCACTCCAATTTGGACTCCAATACTCCTCTTTTAAACAAGTCTCAATGGACCAATTCAATGACAAATACCCACTAAATTTAAGCAATGTTCAAACTTCGCAATATGAAGTAATTTTGTTATCATATCAGCAGGATTATCCTTCGTATCAACCTTGCTCACTACAATATCATCATGAGCAATCACATCATGCACAAAATGATACATCACATCAATGTGTTTAGTCCTCTCATGAAACATCTGATCCTTAATAAAGAAAATTGCACTTGACTATCACAGAATATTGTAGACATCTGCAAGTCTTCACTAATTTCACTAATCAATCCTCTTAGCCATATACCCCCCTTAAATGCCTCTGTAATGGCCATGTATTCTGCTTTTGTTGTATAAAAGGCTACTGTATTTTGTAAAGTAGCTTTCCAGTTGATAGCACAGTCTATATTGGTAAACACATACCTTGTAAGTGATATCCTCTTATCAAGATCCCCTACATAATTTGAATCCACATACCCAATGACTCCATCTGAATTTCTACCAAAATGAAAACCAGCATTAGAAGAACCTATCAAATATCTGAAGATCCACTAAACTACTTTGCAATGTTCCTTATCAGGATTTGCCATGTATATGCTAATTGTAGTAACTGCATGTGCCAAATCAGGTCTTGTACAAACCTTAGTCTACATAAACGAATCAACTGAACTTGAATAAGGAACTCGAGACATGTAATCAATGTCTTCATCTGGCTGAGGACATAAGTTGGATGATAATTTAAAGTGAGCAACCAAGGAAGTACGACAGCTTTCTCATTCACCTTATTGAATCTTTCAAACACCTTCTCAATATACTCATTCTGGCTCAAATACAATCTCTTAGCGTTTCTATCTCTCAAGATTTTCATACCAAGAATCTTCTTTGATGCACCCAAATCCTTCATATCAAACTCTATATTGAGTTGAAACTTCACTTTTCTAACATCTGCTTTATCTTTGGCTACTATGAGCATATCATTAACATATAATAATAAATATGTAATCGATCCATTATATTCCTTCTTGAAGTACATACAACTATCATAATTATATCTGAAGAAACCATGAGTAGTAATGAATGAATCAAACCTCTTATACCACTGCCTCGATGACTACTTTAGTCCATACAAGGACTTCTTCAACAAGCACATACAATCTTCTTTCCTAGAGACTGTGAACCATTCTGGTTGTTGCATGTAGATGCTCAAGTTCTCCATGTAAGAATACTGTCTTAACATCCATCTTCTCAAGCTCTAAGTCATTCTTAGCCACCATTCCAAGTAAAGTCAGGATAGAATTATGATTTACAACTAGTGAGAATACATTTGTAAAGTCAACACCTAGAATCTGACTGCATCCATTTGCCACCAATCTAGCCTTGTATCTAGTATTTTCAATCCCTGGTGTGCCTTCCTTTCTTTTGAACACCCATTTGCAACAATTTATACTCCTTCACACCTGATTTATACCAAGGAAAGATGCAATTTCTAGACATAGGCTCCAACTTCCCATTATCCACATGAGTATAAGCAGGATACCCAAAAATCTGCAAATCAGAATAACAAGAAAGCTTATTAGATCATACTTCTTCTGGTGTCTTTTTATCAATAGCAGCTGAGGGTAAAAGATTAATCAGAAAACAAGCAGTAATAGTGATTACGCCCAAAGAATAACGCAGTAATTGTAGCACAACTTTGGGTTGTCGTATCCACAGTGAGATGGAAGAATATTTAAAAGATCAAAAAGGTTGAATTGCTCTCTCAAATGTGTAATAAAATTCAATGTTAAAACATGAAATTAAAATCAATAATT